GATGACCAAGTGAGTTAATTAAGGATGCTAATTGCACGAACGTTTTCCACAACAGATTAGTTGTGCTTACGATTCGCGTATAATCTGCTTTTTACCTGATGGTTTGACATAGAAAATGGTTATGGTCTCTGTTAAATCTGTGGAGGCGTGTTGCATGGAAATTATTCAGTCGATGGCTAATTACCAGATCCAAAAAAAGACGGTATCTGGGCAACTTGCTATTGGTACGTAGTATCAACAATCGCCAAGTCCTCACTTTTGTCAATGTCTTTTAAGCATTTTATCTCATGATTTCAATTTAGTGAACGGAATGATGAAGCAGGTCGAAAAGACTCATCAATTGATATACGACACGTTTCAAACGCTTCAAAAACTCGATGTTTTACTTCCAACAGAGTTAAGACTGGATGATCAGTCTCAATCTCGATGGTCATTGATACAGAAATTGTTTCAAGACGCAAAAAAAGGGCCACTGTCCAGAGACGTTTAAGATATGGTCGAAGCGAATTTCCAGCACAGAAGTTATTGCTTTGAGTTTTGTACCTTGATGCTTTGGGATTAACCCGGTTCTATGGCAAATCCTGAAAGTGCTTCCGTTATCAGTATGAACATGAAGAACGATGGACCCCGGAGAGCGAAAACCTTATGACTTAACCGATTGGACCATAAACTCATATATTGCAAGAGAATTGGGCAGCTTGTAGACTCTCGTGGTGCTAAGCTTCACAATCTTTGTCGTTTCGCCCAATCGGTATTTAAATAATTCCATACGGAATCTTGACTTTATCTGAAGATTCAACACAGTGTTATTAGTCATGGTGTCTCACCTGGAAATATAATAACGATGATGACGATGGTGATGAAGGGCTTGTGAGGATGTCAGACTTTTATAAGTTGACTCTCACGTATTCCTGCAGAAAATTAAATTGACAGATTTTATGATAAACATAATTCGTGAGTTTGGCAGGTCGTTGGGCAACGAAACTGACAACATTCGCCGCCAAAAGTATGATAGTAAGGACGAAGTTGAATCAATTTGGGGAAGGGAAGTCATATCGCTGGACACTTCAGCTCAGACAGCGCCTCATCAGAAGAAAAGAATTTCGGATATGCTTTGTACGAAATTTTTACAATGAAACATCAAACTACAACTTGTCAGAAACAAGCAGGCCAAGGGGCACGGCATTTTAAATGATTCAATCCTCGATGATAGTGTGCTTTTTCGCAATTGATTAGCAACAATGATTTTCTAGTAAAGTCACTCTGAATTGTTCGACTGCATTGGCCCAAACATTGGGAAGACCACCTCTTTCAAGTATCTATTGGTAATGTCGAAGCATGAAAATAGGCAACTAAAACTGCGAATAGAGGCAAGCTCAGCGAAAGAATAATAAAGAAAACTCATCATTATTCGAACTCGTAAAGATCGTTAAACATTAGTCTCCAAATCTGCTTTATTGGTTAGGGTTTCCTGCCCTGTAAATATTTATTAGTTTCACAATTTACAGTAGTGCTCAGCAACTTTCCAACGGTTCATCGTATACTAATATGATAATTATAAAATTAGAAAGTATGCTCGACATCTTTATAATGGGATAAATTTATACAATAATGTTGTAAATTCATAAATCTAAAGAACTTTGACTGTACACTGATTCATTAAAAGTTAAAATGCCCGGATTTCTGCCCAGTATAAACGGAGTCCATTTGAGTTTTTCTGGTTTGAGAGTAAGATAGCCTTTCGCAGCCACCGCTTGACAATGTGCTTCAATAAGCTCACGATCTACCACCATTACGTAAGTCCCCAGTTCCTTGTCTTTAACCAAGATGTCGTTAATTTCAAGTGTTGATATAACGTCATCGAGAGTCATTGCTGATTCTTGGCTAAGCTCTACGAAAGCAAGTAATAGTTAGAGTCAAAACACACGTTTTGAAACAAATCATCCAATTCGTACGGAAACCTACTCGATATGCTAATTGATCCAGTAACATTTCTGAGTGCATGAAAAAGAACGTTGCGCCAATAACTTCGATAGCTGAGTAAACCAAGATCTGATAGTGGTTTTTCCGGCGTTCCTACTGTATTCTCTTTTTTCGTCAAGAGATAACCTATCATGAATAAATACGAAAGGCGTTAACGATTACGTATATATACATATGAATAGGAATGACATGTACTTGTTAAGATTCTCTACTTACTGAAGTCTATGAGTAAGTTACCATAGCCTTTTCGTTGATGGACCGGAAGCGTAAGAATACATGATAAATTGTAGTTGGAGTTAGATCGTTTCTCCTGCAAACAAGGCGAAAGTAAGACAAACATCTTTATAATGCAATTTTTATATAACGGGTTGTAGCAAATAGTCATTCGTACCTTTGAAAAATACCCCACTAAATGACACCCCGATTGATCTGCCTCAGTCATTACATAAAAAAGAAAAGGTTCAACATCATAATATAGTGTCTTGTGGTCAAGAAACATTTTGGCAATCAAGCACAGGTTTTGACAATATATCTACAAGTAGGCAAAGGTACATAAACGGTCAAATTTCATGCGGGTAACATTACCCGTTACAGATTATTTTAAAAAAAACTCCATACCTTATTTTTCCGTCCATCCACTTCGAAAATCGATATTGGTCCATCTCGATATATTTCGTCTCCGGGGGGGTGTCTCATCGGACACTTTAACTGGAAATAATAAAAAAAAAAAGAAGTTCATACACTCGTTCGCTGAAGATGTTTTGTCAATATTAATAAGAGTATTACAAACTTTATGTCTTCTAGCAACATATTCCGTTTTCATGTATTTCAAACAGTACTCGCATATGTGTAATGTCTGGAGAATACTATATTCTTCAGGATAAGGTGCTGCGTACCAAGTATCAATCTCCCATTCACCGAACCGTATTTTCCTAATTCGCGGCGTTCTGCTACAATCTGGCATATGAGGGACATCTGACACTTCTGCGTCTGCGGACTCTAAGACTCTTGGGTCATCTATTAATAACGCCAGCGCTGCCTGCAAAGCAATAAGAAACAAACGGGAAAAAAAAAGTTGGGAGGATGAGGAGGATGAGGAGGGGAAAGAAAGCAAACATATCAACAACTCAATAATGGTTCGGGGAAGCGAAACAAACCTCTGCCGCAGTCTTTGCTCTGTCGAATCGTCGGATATCAACTTCAAGAGGAGTAGTTTTTGATGGATCAATATCACTTGGTATTATTCTTTCTGTTTCGTGGTACTTGTCTTTAGCATTTGTGCCAGTGTTGTTCGTTAGCCGTAACGAAGATCCCTTGGAACCGGCTGTGGATGTCTTTGACGGTCCGGCTTCGGTAAGGGCTCCGTTAATCGCTCGTCTACCGGTAGCTGTCAGCGGATGAGGAAAACGCTTGAGGAAGAGTTCATGTATATATCTACGGTTTATTCTATATAGTGTCAAACTTTAGTGAAATGAGTAAAGGATTAAGTTACCTGTTTTTAATCTTTTAGATATCGTCATGGTCGGTCGACTACGAGGTCTTTTCTTACTCTTTTCTGTGACTAGTTTTATTGATTTTGATTTTTGGATCTCAGTCAACGATGAAGATAATGACTTCGATGACTTATTGTTCATCCTGCTTGCATCTCGGTCTTCGAAAGATGGATTTGATTCGATTTCAGCATCACTGTCTGTGACAATTTCCTTGCTTAGAGAAGACGGCTGGCTGTCCCTTATCATTTAACCTAGCAACTGTTCACGATTTTGTCGCTGTGATGTAATCCAAAATTTCACGTGTTATAACTATAATTGGTTTATGTGATTGACAGTAATCGTGCATAATCCCAATTCAGGTACTGATTTTCCTCAAACCCCATATCGCATTTCTCCAAGTAAGCAGTAAGTAAACAGATTCTTGTTTGATATGTTATAATAATAATCAAAGTTGCACGATCTAATAACTACGTGGGGCTTTCAATTTCGTTTTTTTTTTTCCAATACTTCTTACCAATACGTACCATGATTGGCTTGATTCTTATCATAATAATAAGGGGGTGTGATCTGTACTATGTTAGACAATGTGACAACTATAGTGATATGTACAACGATGATCTTAGCCAATCAGACCTCAGTGGCGGTTTAATTCGTACCATGATAAAAGACTTGCCCAGACAAATGCTATAAAGTGTTTAGCAAGTTATTACTGGTTCCGGTACCTCCTTTCTTTCGAGAACGCGTATCATTAAATCATTTGCGATCTAGTCATATATTGAGGAGAGTATTTTCTTGATGTTAAGTACTTTTTTATAATGCTAGATGCTTGACTTGGATTACAATTCAGAAATGGAGGGAAAATGTAATTACTATTACGTTTGGTTAAAATTTAAACTATAAATAATATTGTAGTAAAAGGATGCGGATAATGTAATATTAACATAACACAACACAATAAAATCCACTCAGTCGCCACTGAATATTACGATTTCCAATTGTGATATCTAAACGCCAATCACCAAGAAATAAATTACAATTAAGTTGGAAATTCACCCTGCTCACGTCTACATGGTAATACTTGATATACATCCACTAAGCTTCCCAGTATAGAATGCCAACAGCATTGCTGCGAGCATTAGTGCAACCTGATGTGTGTTGAACTGAGTCTTATCCAACGGGATTATAACGTCGCTTATTTTGCCCTTCTCAACAGGCGTCGTTGCGATAGTGTCGTCGCTCTCATAGGTTGTCTTTGTTTCGTAGGTTGCCTTTGATGTTTCCACTTTCTCGGGTTTCTGTGATATTAAAGAAAATCAGTATTAAAAGGATAAATGAAAAACACTAGTATATAAGCATACACTTACCGCATTCTCGAGCGTAGACTTTTTACGAACAAGTTCCCGGTAGAAAGCCGCCCGTTCTGCATCCGTTGGCGGTTTACGTTGCAAGACTATGTATGGCAATTCAAGTAGGCATATTAATACATGCATGGTTAAATGCAAGTAACGTGACGACGGTTTAATTTTATTGGTAAGACTTACGTTCTCGTGGAATATCTTGGTCAGAACGTATAGTAGCAGGGCTCACAGTATTAATCTGACGACTTGGTTCGCTTTTAGGTAATGATGATGTATCATCATTAGTCACTTGTTCGTTTAAAGTAGTAGATCTAGTGGAACTGGTATCAGGTACACTTTTAAGATCACTTTTAGGATCCGCCACGGGAATCGTGTATTTCCCGTTATATGTCATCTGAAAGCCGTTCTCTATGTTCTTTGTGACTTTGATACTAATATCTTTACAATCTGGTTTTGCGGGTATCGTTATGCGCACGACATCTGTATTGTCAGCCAACACCTCGACCGTCGCTACTTCGGGTTTGATCGAAACATCAAAACCACTTGCGTATATTTTCCTACACAGGCGTAACTCAACCGACCCACCGTTCATATCCGTCATTTTTAAGTCGTACTTTGACAATTTGATGTCAAACTTGATATATGTTACCGCTCCTGTTGTACTTGCAATGTACGGCGGATGACCATATGTTTGAATGGCTTCACAGACTTTGCCGACACACATGGGTGTTTGACTAGATAATTGCTTTAGTATTACTGAAGGAACGACGTCCAGTTTAATATCAATTCCGACGACGTAAACTATTTCGACCGCCGTTACAAATCCATTCGAGTCAAATTGAGGTTTGAGGTACCATCCCGCCATGTCCAAATCAGCTCTGACATATTTACGTGTTTCAGGGATTTTCGGGTCGACCACTGAGGTGCCTATAGTCCAAATAGCCCCAGTAACGGGATCACGGTCAACCGTGGCGCAAACAGACAAATCTCGTCCACTGACCAGGAAACTTCCTTTCATTGATGTTCGGAGGAGCATGTCGGTTGTTCCAAGACGCTCGACAACTTCACCATCTTCGTAACGATCATCCCAGAATGGTCGGAAATCAAGCGAATTTATTACTGCCAAAATATCGTCCGCCGTCCAATGACCCTTGAAGGTTTGCTCTCCACGCATCATTGGCATTGACTTGCCAGGTATATCTTTCATATATGTCTTGACTCCCTTACTTTCAGCGTGGAATTGCCAGCCGCTTTTATCTTCAACTTGTTTCTTAAAGGCGGCAAGAGCTGCCTGTATTTTGTCTATATGTCTATGTTGTTCTGCTTTTGTGTCAGCAACTTTCGAGCCCTCTTTCGTGTCGGCAACTTTAAAGGCTGCGTCTGGTTTCGTGGAATCCGATGGCGTTTTTAAAGAAGCGTTACTAGCAGTTACTTTTAGTGTTGCTGATGGTGATGAGGGTGGAGGGGATGGGAAGGGAGATATCAATGATTTGGCTGCAAGAGTTGCATTCAGATCTGATGTGACGTCTACGGGATCCGTATCTGTTTCTGGAACTGTTGGGGTTAGTGCATTCAAGTCGACCGAGGTCTTGATTTCACGATATGTCTCGGACGATTGATTGGATATGCTCCTCCTACGTCTGACAGATCGGGCTGACCTGAGTTGTGCTTTAGATGGCTTACGAGATGGCGGATGAGATGGTGGCGGGGTCGTGCTAATGATTACTGCTGGTGGATCGTTCTTTTGGAGATAATTATTAATTGCATTTATAACAAATGGACGCCTCGTCAAATATTTTTTGGCCACTATTCCGGGAACCCAGCCTCTGACATCCGTTTGTAAGATGTAAATAACTTTAGTGGAGGGAGGATCTGTAGCGAGTGGCTCGAGTATCCAACCGTTTAGCTTTAATATAGCACGGACTTTGCTGGAAATACGTGGAACTTTCGGTGTTTCTACTGATGTAGATACAAAGCATATTGTTCCTGTGGGCAGGCATTCGATTTTTTCCACCAGGGATAAATCTCTAGATCTATTGGTTATTTGTGGAATTGTAGAGGAGGGAATAACACATTAACAACTTGATACGCTCAAATGATGAAACAAAAAAAAGGTGACTTAAAATATTACTTTGAGCCTGTCAATCCCTTCATAACCATGTAAGTCAGACTTGTAGTATCATTTAGATTTTCAACAAGATTGCCTTCCTCATACCTGAGATTGATGCCAATAAACAAGTAGGGTTGATATAACGTTTATAGATCAATTACACTAGTACTATAAGTAAATTCCACTCACTTACCAGTCATCCCAGAGTTTTCTCATACCAATGACAGCAAAGACCGCCTGAGGAGAATGACCTTTAATGATGCCTTCACCTTTAAATATGGGAATCTTCTCTTCGCCTCCACTTTTCATACAGACGACGACTCCGCTTTTGTGTTTAACAACTGGTTGCCACCCATCGTCTTTGATGATTTTTTTCAGCTTTTGCATAGCATCTTCTGCTTTCCTTATATTGTAACAGTTTGACGTCTGGGCTGGATCTATAATGGTTGGTTCTGTTTCCTCACTCTCTGAAATGTCGAAGCCCATAGACAAATCTTCATCGTACGTTATGAAGTCCTCAGAAACATCCATCGTTGTTTGGGTGAATTTTTTTTAATTCAGTGTATTCAGTTGTGAATATATTCTTCTTTCAAAGAGAATATATCTTTTTTTTATTGTATTAATATCAAGTTTAGAATATACAATATCGACTTAGTAAAGCGAAGACGCCCCTTGGAAGTTGTCAATTATAATGAATGTTAGAAGAGACAGCCCAATGTCGATATACGTATAAAGTACAAGAGAGGAAGTTGATGATTCCGTTCTTTTATCGGCCGGATACAGTTCAAAGTTGTGAAGCATACTAGTACCATTTCTGTTGATCGTTCGGCGATAAAACACCATTTCTGCATAGAGATGTTAGATTTTAGACGACAAAAACCTATATCGAGTTAAACTGGTCCAACCAAAAAGAAGTACAAGCACGATTTGTCACAAGCAACTTAATATAAAACAATAGTTTATGTTAAGTATCCATAGTGGTGGGAACGGCCGTTAAATCATGCATGGCTGAAAATGACCAATCACTAGTTTACCGCATAAAACTTACATCACCTAAAACGGAATTTGCCTACGATAAGCGGCACATCATTTCCATATTGGTCATACATGTGGGATTAATTCGGATAAGAACTATGGCTCACATGCGTCTCGTTGTATCTAACAAATAAAGTAAAAGTAACATCGGGAAGGGTCTCTATGTTATTTATTCAATCAGTAACATGAAGGTCACGTTCTAAATTCGAGCTCTTCTAAAAATACTTCGAATTTCTAAGTATGTTTGCAATCACTGATTGGTCATTCGAAAAAGCCTATCGGCTGACGTTCTGCCGGGATTACGTAACTATTAAAGTATTATATTATATTTATATTTGCAAGATTACAGTTAAACTTAAATTAATTAATATTAATTATATTAAAAGTATAATAATAATAATAAGGTGTTGTTTAACCTGAGTATCACGTGAATTAGAGGTTAAGACAACTTTTTCGGATTCTTGTCTTACTATTACTTAAATCAGACGCACAATAATCAAATATGTATACGCTGTCTGTATCCAGGAATAAGCGACCGTATACCGAGGAAGTATGTTTCGGGCATAGACATAAAATCCGAACAAACACGGATATATGCATATGAGATTTTCAGGTTTAAAATGTACAGCCAATAATCCCTCCTGCGTTTGTTGCGTTACAATCTTGATAATTATACGATTCAATGCGCTTCTCCGTGGACTTGTTCGATTACTACCCGTTCTTTGTTCGTTCGGTAAGTTCAGTCGCCCCTTCGCTCCTTTTCTCCACAGGGCAAGCTACTACTATGTTGACCATGTGACACCGTGTGTATGTTGATCATGGTAATAACTCTGGCAACGATCCTTAGTTTGATAGGTCACCTGAAATTACGGAGATTTCAACTACTGGTAATCCGTTCCAAAATTCCAAAATGTGATTTAAACTCAGTGACAGCTCATTCTGCAATTCTACCCTTTAGTTTTCGTCATATGCGGCCCTTTTCTAAGCACACTAATCACCTGTCGTTGTCTTTTTGTCTTACGCAGCATTGATAATTAATGATAACCGAACAGAGTATTTTGTTACTAAACTTATTGATCAGAAAATTTTTGAGTGAGATTTAGACTGAAAGCCATCTAATATTGCAAACCGGAACGAAAACCAATTGGGTTACAAAAAAAGGATGCTGGCCGGAGCGAATAATTTCACCAAACTGTGGACGAAACGTCAATTGTTAATTAATTATATTAATAGTTAGCTGTTCCTTTGCAATCAATGACCGAAATTACCTCTGCATTTAACACTTCTCCGAAAGATTAATTTTATGCCATCGCACATCGTAGTATATAAAGGATTGTCAGCTGCATCGATGACGTTTATGTACAGTATTAAACTCGCGCCCGTAGTGTATCTTATATAAGATGATTTTTATAAAACGAAACTAATATCAGAAAAATCAAGCACAGCGCGATAAATAAAAATATTGTTAAGATAGTAAACAGAGAAATTATTATTGTTATTATACAGTATATTGTCTGTGTGACAGAAGTTGATTTATCGCAGAATCTTTAGAATGTGGAGAGAAGAAAAGATTGACCGCTAAATGTCATGAATATAAGTTTACAACAATCGTTTTTCCTAGATACGTAGACAGAAGAGTGCTTAAAAATGGACGAATAATGAAATAAAAAATAGAGAAACTAAAAGTCTGGAAGTAGAAATTTATTACCAAAAAAACAATGAACCATTAAACCGAAAGTTGAGTTAAAAAAATTAACAAAATTGAGCAAAGCAAAATATGTTATCTTGATCAACTCAAACTATTTTGTAACCGAGTTACAATAGCATGTAAAGTGCTAGCATTAAGAAAGAGAAATATTACCCTGTACAATACATAATAATAGTGTCATTTTCTTACACTTTATTAATTTCAATGTTAAAAAATTTTAGCAAAAACAATAATTTTTTTAGTTTGTTTGGTTCAAAGATTTTAGCCTTTTTGTTTTGTAATGGCACACTCTTATTTTGCTTTCTCTTCTTCATGTTGTATTAGTTTCTTTTTTGATACATGTTATTAATAATTTTTCCTTCATCTTAATCTCAAGAATTTTAGTATCATTCATTTTGAAATGTACGAAGCAATTTTTCTCCTTGCCTTTTCTTTAATGCTTCTAATAGTGCTGTCATTTTTGGGTTTCATGATGGTTGATGTAAATTAGTTTTATGTTAATATTAATGTTTATATACGAGGGTACCAAAAAAGGTTGCGAATTCTTTTGATTATTATAGACAAACTAAACTTTCTTCGAAAAATTGTATTGCCGTACTTATTATCAATAATATAATATTAATATGATTATGCAACAGCACAGATATCACAGACTTTGTTACTATTACGTAACTTTTTATGTCCCAACCCCAATGCGTGTTGCAACGCATTTCAACGTCTCTCAATAAACATGTATTCATTGCTTGCTTACCTTGTTGTTTGGATTGTATGTACTAGTATGCTAGGAGAGTTGCTCTATCACTAGCACCTGGATTTTCTTCTCTGTGTTTGGCAGCAAACTTGTCATATTCTTCTGGTCCATGTTTGAGTCCATGAAGCTATGATGAAGTTTTTGATAGAATACCAGTTGTGTTTTTGATATATTAATATGGGCACTGATCTATCAAAAAGCGGTTATCGTTATGGTTACACGATTTTTTTTGTTCTCAGCAGTCCCCTCTATATCTACATATCTCAGTAGTTTTTACCTCAAGTACATTAGCAAAACCTTTTTCTACGATATTTATACAACTTGATTTCCAAGCTATAATATCTTGCTACAGGCTTGCTAAGCTAGGTTTAACATGACCAAGTCAGAGATGAAATAACGCTGGAAGACCTTACATGGGAGAATAAAACCTTCACTACAACAGTTTTGAAGTTGAGTAATACAAGGGTTGTTCCATGCAGATCATTTGTTACTATTACTATTACTACTATTACCGTCAATAATACGTAGTAATGAGACAAGTGGTTATAATTTAATAAATAGAATATCCACTCACATGGTGTCTGCGACGCCTTAACACGTGTTATTTATCATATCATGCTTTGTAATAATAAAATATTCGGGTATAATATTATCAATTAAGAACATCATTCGCATTAATACAATAGAAATTGTTGTATTTAATATCGTTGCAAGTCGAAAATAAAAATAATTTCAAAAAATGTCAAAGCATTTATCTAAAACACGATTTCGGCTGAGTATAGAAAATAAACGTAAACTTTGTGAATATGCTAGGCGACATCTGAACGTGAAGCGTAGCGATATGGTAAATTATTTTAATGAAAAGTTTAATCTTACAATTGACCGTTCGACTGTTAGCAAACCAAACAATGTAGGCATATATGCGAGTATATGAATTTACTTAACTTCAAAGAATTTCAATCAAGCGTCAACAAACTATTGATGCTTACTTTAGTACTGGTTAGATACCGATATTAATATCGTTGATTTTTAATTTTTATTTATACAAATAATAAAAATAATAACAAAATTATAATAATACAGGTCACATGTCTCCCTTCTGTCTCACTTCCATACAACCACAGGTTTTATCTGGTCCCAACTGTGTGACTGTAGGGAGGTTGATCCGTTGCGTATTAGCTAATTATGACTATTCTAATTAATCCATGATGTCGGGCGTTATAACCATAGTTCATCTTTGATATTCCAAGACTCTCCCATCCTCTTTCTTAAGACCGTATTCCCATCCGAAGTGCGTTGCGCCATTTGAAATGTAACCCGAGCATATTTAACAATAATTTATTCATTAATTAATAAGTAATAATATATCATACAATGCATATGTTGTATGTAACTTGCGGCGTCACTATGTAAATCCCGGATTGACACATGTAATTTGTGGCAAAGGTCCCCAAATGTTAATACGCGATTTGCGCCAACGTCCCCAAATTGTATATTTTTTACTATTGAGATCGCAATACGCCTAAACGTCAGAAATCCTCTAACAATGAATGGCAAATACACAGTAAAATAAAAGTATTCTATTGCTTCTAATTCAGGACAGAAATATCTGGCGCTTTGAAAATGTAGTGCATAACATATCCTGATGATGTGTAAAACTCGAGATATGATATCATACTCAACTTTGGCCATAAAAATTCAAACATTTATATCTCGACCCCTTTCCAACCGAATTTTTTGTTTTATATACATTGGTATGCATTTAAATAATAGTTGAGCGAATTACTGCGTAATTCAGTAATTGCTACTAATAATTATGTGACATGATGATAATTGATGATTGTTATGCACGTTTCTTGCCAAATATAGTAACAGTTTTCTCTGAAATAAACATATGGACGCAAAATCTAGCAAACGACATAAAAAAGTTTATGCAAACCGATTAGAAACATGCGGAGATATGGATTTTTGACGATTATGATTTCATGTTTTTTATACACGTATGTTTTTAATGGCTTAGATAGATGTTTGTAGAATGTGGCTGGAGACATCTGATCGATCTCAAATTTTAAAAGCAATAGACTACTTTTGCACGTTACTGTAATAACACGCATTCATGGTAACATAAACGAATGCCGCGATGGACCAAAATAATTATTGATACAACTGATGCTGCAGTTGTGAAAAGATTTCCTCGAGAATTATGCTGAAATGCATGGATTACCAAGTCTTGGTAAAAACGTCAACCGACGCATTCTGCAAGTTATGCCACAAATTAACATGTTATGTTCAAATTATGAGCCCAAGAATGAATTATGTGATCGCGTCAACGATTTCGAAATGGCTTACAGTACAATGCTCGTAAAGCAAAAGACTTATTGGAAAGTAACAAAGTACATCCGATTATTGAAAAAATTATTACAACAAAAATAAGAACAACAAAAAATTGGTCAATGCCATTGATGAATGATAAATATTAATATAGAATTTGCCAATATTTTTGGCCCTGACGAGTTGGGTATGAGAAAGAAACCATCGTCTTCTTTCTGTTACCGAAAGAGCATTCGTATAAACAAAGAACTTTAGGACTCAGCGAAGGGAGTTTATAGAAACTAATATGTCCAATTCATAATTCATCCAACTCTATCATCGAGGTCGCTTGTTAGCTTCTTTCGAGAATAGGAAATAATCTTCCCGTAGTGTATAAGAAATTTCACGTGCTATGATTTAAAGTTTGCCGTACAATTCTCTATTTGAGAATCTAAAATTCTAATAGAAAAAACTATTAGGGATACAATAATCGTTCAACTGAAGCTTACGAACATTGACAAAGGTCAACTATCGATTTTAATATGTTCACAGAATCGTCCCATATCTGGTATATATGGAATGCCCCATTTCGGTTCATTTCTCTGGACTTGAAACAATAATAACGTTACAATGGGTTCAAGTCTTACATTTTGATAACTTAGGTAAAGGAAACCCACCAGATTATTCATAATTATATCAGCTTTGTTTAACGCTGTCTGACACATTCTTTCCAAATAATCAAATACCAGCTGGTCGTTCTCTTCACTTATCTTATCAAGTCGTCCTATTAGTGTATCCTTCCAGCAGGCGATGAGCGACTGTGCATGTGCTGATGAAGGGATGAATGGATGTAAGACGCGTAAGCGAAGAGCCGTCAACAGACGAAAAGAGATTTCTTTTTCACGTAGAGTGTAATCGCTAATAACAAATTAGACTGTTAAACGTTGAAAACAGAAAAAAAGTATCAACTTAAAAGCATACCCCATAAATCCGGTTTGTGTTAGTATTTTTAACTTGTACTGTTTGGCAGCGTCATCTTCGTCAGGTAGTGAGAGAGAAAGGAATTCTTCGTCCATTGAGACATAATTGAACGAATTATTGGGAATTGTAAACCCGTATTCGATCAACAGTCTAAAGTTATCATGCGGTCCATAGTTTATGAAAACCTTCGATTGAGGTTTACAGTCGTTAGAAGGAAGAGAACCAGGAACTTAACAGACGTCAATATCGACTATAAAGTACCTCTTCACCCTTCTTGATGGTTGTCATTGTCGTAATTTGATAACACTTAGTTTGTTGATTGAACTCTCCCATAATCTAAAAATAAATAACCTCTTTTAGTATGATATGTGGCAGTTCACCAAAAAAGCCGTTTAAAACTCTCAAAATTCCATACTTTGACACTACTAGAATGGTTGAGAAAATCTAACATCGGAGCTATTGCAATGTTTTCATCCGAAGAAAAAGAGAATTGGCTGTTCGACGCTTTGAAATATATGCAACGCGTGTTTACTTTAATGACGAGAACGAGGAATTATGAGAAAGCGTAATACTATAGAAAAAGCAGTGTGTATATTGTAAAATGAAAATGTTCTACTCACCACATAGCCATCCCCATAAGAACTCGCTACTGGAAATTGGACCATACGCGTTGGAAGTAGCCTTGCGAATTATAAAAGGCATGAGATAAGTCAAGACTGCATCCTCATAACATTGCAAATACCTGAAGCTGTTTAATCGCAGCATAATCTCTTTCAAACTTTTCTTTCTGTCTTTCTAAATCAACTGTATTGTAACAATATCCAACCTGAGTTATACGAACGATATACATTCGCCCGAAACTCCCTTTCTTTAGCCCTTACCTCTAACATTTCCCGGCAAAAAATCAATCATGTTCGAAGTAATAATGTCAAATCTCTCTGGGAGCACTTTTATATACTCGTACCAAGGACTACGAATGCCTTTGGATTTTTCTAATATCAAATATAGTGCTATTGCTTGGTGAGATGATAACCTATGACGAGACGTGCTTAGAGAGGATTAAAAACGATAAAGCAAAGAATTTAAGTCGTAGACAAGGAGATAGTTACGTTTCAGCCCAAGATCCGAGCGAAGCAATAACTTTCGCGCGAGTTATGAGAAGATGATAAGGAACTTCTATTATAAAATCTCCTGACTTTGTTATTGTTAGAATGTATACTGATATTTTATGTAAACGGCAGTAATTAACCTCATCTCACCAGAATGTCTCTTGTGGCCATTACACCCCTTCCTGTCTCTGGATTATAATTATTTAAACAAATCAATAGTATGCTAGCGACGAGTGCCCTTTCACCACATACTTTTGAATTGAGCAAGCGTCAACTTGGTCTTTGGCAACCCTCGTCGATTTAGCCACAACATAAACGACTTCCATTCTGCATTTAGTATGTCTGTTTAATGAATTTATCTTGTAATATTAATACCAAATTATCACGTACGAACGAACAATCATTATGATATAATGGATTCAACCAAAAATACGGACAGATCATTATACAAATGAATCAGAATCCATATAATTCTGAACAGATAAATACTTACGTTGTCCTCTATCAGCTATACGTTTGCCTCGTCCATTGCGTTGGCGGGACGTTCGCCCCCGACGAGATGGTTTGTTCACCGTGATTGATTGAAAAGATGATCAAGAATAGGTTTGGTTCTCTTATTCGAAAACGAGTAACTTTTTAATTCGAAACATGAAATCTGATTTTGGTTAAAAGAAAATATTTCAGGGGTTGAAAAAATTCCAGGGTCCAAGTTGTTGCATTGTTTAACACAAACATCGATGTAATAGTATCGGTTAAAACGCGCGATCGGCTCTATCACGTTACCGGAACTTTGATGAATGTGTCACTGCCGTTTTGTTTTGCTTACTTGACTGGAAATATTATGAGTAGAAAGCAACAAGTAATCAGGACAGTAAGACGCTCATTGAAAGTATTCCAAATGTGAAGTTATTTCATATGAGAACTGTCAGGAAGATAAAAACACATACTTAATAAATATTTGAGGTATAATTGGAATCTGGTAGCGACCGCAACAGATTGTTGTGCTACGCATACATTATTCGAGATGGATACCCGTCCGGTTTGCAGACATTTGATTTTATTGCCAAGGTGGCATTTGAAAAACTAAAACTTAATTGTTTAAAAAAATTAAGATTAGAAATATTCGAAGATGCCGAATCTTCATGAATCAACTACAACTGTCTGATGCGTTCGAAATAATCGATTCAAATATTCAGCACATAGGCGATATTAAACTTGCACAATTTGTTCGACTGCTCTTCTAATAACTACGTGTATCCATATAATTAGTACAATTATTAATGTTAATAATATACACTCGTCGGAATGTCTACAAACTTTAGTGGGGCCTTCGCCGTAGATATTAATTTGTTAAAAGCATATCCACTTTGGGTCCCAAAATTTTTGGAATACTGTATATCTGAGATATAGCATTTAAACAGATAATATATGGTTAATAGTGACCTCTGGCATTCTGACTTCATAATTACATTGCGCATATAGCTAATATCATTTTCTGTCATAAATTCTCTTTCTTGCACAAAAAATTCATGGTTATTTGAATATTTATGTAATACATTATTTACTCAAAATTGGGATTGGAACCGAAAGTTGAGGATAGGATATGTCTTAGTGGGATACAACGCAACCGTGACTCATTCCTTTCTCAAAAAAATAAAAATATGGCTGCTGGTCCGGGTACAAGTAGTCAGAATAAGGTTTAACCAGGTTGCAGCCGGGTGATAACAAACGGATATAAACTGAGGTATGACTGAACGTGTTGATACAAATATATGCATAAGTTAATTTTTTATTTCATTTCAACCTGAATACTCTATTCATTGATAAATACATTATAGCTTATTTATAATGCGGTTTTATTTTGGTTAATAATTGTCCACAAACTTGTCTTGTTTTTGGTGTTGCCGTCTCTGTTATTTTTATGAGACTTTCCTCCTTAATTCCAATGCAGATGCACTATTTGGGTCAATCTCCAACGATTTGTTGCAATCGACTAACTATAACGCATTGTCATATTTTTTAAGCAGCCGATATACATCCCCCCTACTTTCCAATGCAAATGCACTATTTGGATCAATCTCCAACGATTTGTTGAAATCGACTAATGCATTGTCATATTGATCAAGCAGTCGATAGACTTCACCTCTTTTTCGCCTGTTCATTCATCCGTGTCGAAAATAATCGCATTTATTATAGTTTTTCTACGTTACTCTGTTTTAT